AACGTCGGAGAATTACGGAGGTGGTCAATAAGCCGTCCTGGAGTGGCAATGACGACGTCTGGTCGTGCTCTCAACGCAACTTCTTGCGCCTTTAGGGATAGCCCACCTATAGAACATCTCACTGAGGATAATCATGCAGAAGCGGCATGCGCACCGACAACCAAACAGAATTGAATATCTGTATGGATGGCCAACTTCTTTCCGACATCGTAGCACTGAACAGCTAGTTCGCGGGTGGGGACCAGAATAAGACAGCGCGTTGCCGCCGCCTTTTTGCTTCGATCGCGATAAAGCAAACGTTCGATCATAGGAATAATAAAGGCCGCAGTCTTCCCGGAGCCCGTGACCGCATTACCGACTACATCCTTTCCCAGCAGACCAACAGGGATTGTGGCGGCTTGAATGGGTGTGGGTGCGTGAAAACCAAGCAAAGTAAGGGCCTTGAGAATAGGCCGCGATAGGTTCATAGTGAGAAATGACGCGTGCTTCTCGGAAGAGGGGGCATCCGAAGAAAAAAACGCCTCTTTCCTAGCTTTTTGGGCTTCTGTTTCTGAAGTACTCTCATCCCCATACGATGAGCCCGTGTCTTCAGATTCAGATTCTTCCTCCTCTTGGGCGCTCACGGATTCGCTTCCGGTGTCGTCGGATGTCGCCAGGGGATCATCGACTATTTGGCCCTCTTCCACTTCATAGCTGGCGACAGCGGTCTCCTCATCAGTAGGGACTTCTCCCTCGTGGGACTCAAGGCTTTCTAAACTGTCACTTGCATCGTCAAAATCACCGTCCTCGTAGTCGGAGTCATCGCGGTCCTGGTGTTTTCGCTTCCGAGAGCCGTTACGGGTTGCTCGCCTCGCAATAATGTCTTATACGGATATTGGATCCTAATCAAACGTTTGAGTAGTGAACAGAACAAAGTACTAAGCGAGCGCACAGGCTTGGAGCCACTTTTCACTACGTCCGCAAAGTCTGCTTCCCCTTGAAGCAAGTCAGTGTATGGATCCCCCAAATTATCAAATGTGAATGTAGGATCTAACAGCGCTTCGTCAGCGTCTCTTGAGAGTGAAGATTTTGAATGTCTTGTAGCAACAGAAGGGGACTCTTCTTCGGAATCAAGCGTCATGACGAAGTCATCAGCTGCCATTATATGTCGTCAAGGGAGTAACCTGCGCACAACTGCCAGTAGCGCAGCGCAAAGAGTTGGGGAGAGGAGAAAAGCAATCGGAGTCACCTGACCGTGCGCGTAAGCGAAGAAATGTGACGAATACACGATTTTATGTGGATCAGCAATCACAAAGAAGTCAGCGGTCTGACGACTTTACGCCTTTGATAACTACAAAACGTAGCCCTTGGCCTTGCAACCACCCGATTACCCCTGCGAATGCTGCCCCAATGTTTCCTCGCCGCCTCAAGAAAAGTTGGAAGCCAGGAAACACGAATGGGGTGATGTCCTCCATTTCGATGTTTTTGTACCCTACATCGTTCATCTGTCGCACATACTGCTCTTTGGTTACCATGTTACTTCTTGGCATGATGCCGAGCACACGGGACAGAAAGAGCGTGAACATTGGGCCGGGCGGAGTGGAGAAGCAGAGGTCTGCTAAGGCGATGCAACCACCGGGTGTCAGGCGCTGAAAGGACTGACGAAGGAATTCCTCGCGAGTGTCAAAGTGATACGCGCAGTCGAGCGCAACGATGCTTTCGAACTCGTGCGCAAAGTGAGGCGAGAGAGGATGCTCCCGATCATCTGACCGCCAAACGGCGTCACCCTCAAATAATAGTACGTTTGGCTTCTTGTCTGGCGCATCGGCGGAGGACAGGAAACTGTTCACTCTCTCCCTCGTGCGGTGATGGTGAGCCGGCAAACTGGTTATCCCGCATACCAGGGACGGTTTGGCCAATTCCGGGTGAGACAACTGCAAAAGGATCGAATCGCCGCTGCCATGACCGACATCTGCTCGGCTTTAGAGAAGCGCCTGCGACAAGACAACGTGGATGTTTACCCAGAACCCGCCCGTTGGGTTTAAGCCTGGCGGCCCCAAGCAGTCGCAATGCAAGGGCTGTGGTACAATTTTGTGAGCTGCGTGGATAAAGCCGACGACTCCAAGGAGTACCTTGACATGCCTCGGGGAAGACTGCAGTGTCCTAGCACCCGGTCATCAGTCAATGAATATAGTCATAGCGATCTATTTACCTTCCAGAGTCCCATGTTCAGCCATTCCGTTTTAGGGGGGTCTCGACTCCCATGCACTTTATTGAACGAGATATGGAATGTTCCGTATGGATCCTTTGATCGGCGAAGAAAATACACGTATATCGCGACGAAGATGAGGATGTAAAGGAGCATCATGGCTATGAAGTAACCAAGATATCGCCTACGCCACATGCATGCATCTCAAATCAAATTGTTGGCGTTTATCGTAATTGGCACAGTGAATGTCACGCAAGAAACCCGTGGCAGCCGCCGACACACGCATATTGTTGCAAGTGGGATGGAGAAAGAGGTGAGGGGTCCATTTATCCAGACCTTCAGGTCAGCCACGGTCTCTGCCGACCTAATCTCCTGTATGCAGAGGACATTCTACGGGGGCTGGGCGTCAACAAGGATTTGGTCTTTGTTTGAGTGTCATAAAAGCCGCAGTGGAGATGGAGACCAGGGGCAGTTCTCACTGCCAACCGTTATCTACTCCCATCGGCTACCCACTCAAGCTCACTCACGACCTGGTCAATATGTGTGGCGACTCACGTTCTTCCCGCAAATATGTTTTCTTTTTTCTTGACCGGGTTCGTTCGAAATGGTACCCCAATGAAATGCTTATGCAGCTCTGACGGCCATGAATTCGTAGGCAAACTATGTGATGGTAGCCTTGACGGCATCCGCCATATTATACACCCATTCTGTTGGTGTCGTTTACTTTTGCGCAGGAGCAGTAGCCTGCACGGTTTCCGTTAAGTGTGTCAAACAAATCCTTCGGCAAGCTCGTCCCGTACAAACCACCAACCGGGAACAAAAACAATCATTCGGGTATGTAACAAAAGCGTACAACCAGGGATGTAATCTTTTTCAACGCCGCCACCGTCTAGGATGCCCAGCACACATTCTGCGGCCATCACATTCTTCGGGACCTACATTCCTCTTGCATGTACATGGCTGCCGTTGCATACATCTTTTCCGAAAAGCCCATTGTTTCGCTGCCTCGTTGTGCTGGTCACCGTTCCATGGACAGTCGCAGTTGCCCGCTCTCGAATCTTGCTAGGGCACCACACTGCGCCACAAGTAATTGTGGGGTGTGTTTATGGATTTAGTTTTGCATGCATATGGTTCTGGCTCTGGGTCCATGGACTGAATGATTGGGGACAGAGGGTAGAGCGTTATTTTGGTGTTTATATTAGGTGACAAGAGCGCTGGAATTCGAGTCTCTTCGTTCAAGAGGTGATGTACGCTCCTTGTACCAGCCCGTGCTACAAGTAATGTCAAATAGCATGCCCAGGCACGACGTGTGGAAGATCGACAAGACGTGTCAACCTGTCCGCTTGCTAACATAATCCCAGCATAGCTGCCGGGTCAACTAAAATGGTTATGAGGGCACCTCGCCTTTAGGTGTCGAATCATCGTTCCTCAACTTGGACTTCCATGCACGATTAATGCTGGAGTAGCAATGAGGACATAAGTGGTGTGCGAGCTTGGCTGAGCCGCATCCAGGGCAATGCACCACGTCTGCACGGCCGTTAGAGTTGTGATAAATAAGCTCTGTATAGATTTGCACCCACTCTGCTTATCCTTGAGACCCTTGTTTGCGCTGCGCATGGCTTTCCGGGAATGCGACACTTTCTTTTTGGGTACGGCGAGGAGGAATGGCGGGATGAGGTCACGAAGAGACGGAAGAACCGGTATTGACCATGAGGACCCGAATATGGTGAACGAAGGCAGGGAAAAGAAAGGAGAAGATATCGCGACAATCTGACGGGGAATAATGGCAGCCATGATTTCGTTGACGACGATGGACGACGTCGTTTGACCAAGGCGCGTTCCCGCCCGCGTTCCCACATTTGAACTCCGACCAGGACTCGTTTCTCGCTCACTGTACATCACAGCAACGGCAAGCGACGCAATGTTCCGATTCACGCGACCGCTGCTTCAGGCGTCCAAGTCATCCACAGGACTCTATGGCCTTGCCGTCCATCCCAACCCGCTACCAGAGCTGACCAAGACCTACGAGTCCACCCTTGCCGCGCTCTCATCCATCCCCGAGCACGCCGCATACCGACAGGGCGTGGAAGCCCTCACTCTCAAGAAGCTGAAGATCGTGCGGGATGCGAATGGAGATATCGCGCGGGTCGAGAAGCAACTGGACGAGGGGCAGATTGAGCAGGTCATCGCGATCGCGAAGGACGAACTCAGTCTGGCGGGCAAGATGACGGAATGGAAGGCGTATGTCCCCTTTCCTCCTGTGCGTCTGTGCGGGCGGCTTACTATGGGCAGATGGGAGCCTCTGGAAGAGCGGCCGGAGCCCGGACAATGGGAGTACTTTGGGAAGGCCTCCACCGCGTCGTAGGGTTATTTTAACTGGACACTTATGCTCTCAAGAAGTTGCAGAGATGATGATCGGGTGTATGGCCATGCGTGTACTCTCAGAAAGGCATGTGCGATACACACACACACACCTCAGCGGCATCTCAAGGGGCTCACAAAGCCAATATCACGTACTAGAATATTAACAAAAGCATGTCCGTCGTCTTCCAACCTGGAGGTTGTGCGACGTGTTGCCTACGAGAACTATTGCATCTGTAGACAATATACAGAGGACGATCTAAATTAATTTTTGCCCGGAGGAAGTTCACCGAGATGTGGAAGATCATCTGGATGACTAGTGAAGGGCGTCGTCGGGAAACCCACGTCCCTGACTGACTTGTCAGGAACAACTAATGGAACGTCTTTATTTTCCTAGATGAGCATCGTATCGTAAAAGTTAATGTCATCTCGAGAATAAACAAAAAAAAAACGCTGACAGCAGGATTTGAACCTACGCGGGCAATGCCCAAGTGATATTTGCCGCGTTTAAGTAGCGCGGTTCAAATCACTCGCCTTAACGACTCGGCCATATCAGCATATTGCCACCGTCTCGATATGAACATTCATATATAGTCACGGAGTATTTCCAGTCGTAGCGTGCCGGTCCATCATTGGCTTTCGAGCGATTGGGAGGAGAAATAAAATGGAGACGGACGAGTGCGTGATTCTCTTTTGAAGAATGCCCACGCTTGCTTTCGACCAGAGCTTTGCTGGCCTGACAATTGCAACGCTACGCTAAACTCGCGTTTTCCATCGAAAAGCTTCCACTCGCTCACCCACGTCACGCTCGCAGAAAGAAAAAAAATTTAAAGAGAGATACAGTCGCGAGTCGCGGCCGCATCCATGGACTCCCTCATCCCATTCACGACCTCCGGATCTCTAGTAGACTGTGTGGATAGTACGTCCCGCTGGCCCAACTGCTCAGTCAGTTTGCACATCCATTCCCCCCCCTCTCCCCGTTCTTGTTGTCTCCAGGAAAGATGCTCGTCGTCCTGCGAGACGGTCGGAAACTTCATGGCGTGCTGCGTTCCTATGACCAGTTCGGTGTGTCCCTGTCTCTCTCTCCCCCGTTGTGCGTACCAATGCCCACGTTTGAAACGTCTCCACGGGTCTAGCGAACCTCGTCCTTGAGGACACGGTGGAGCGAATATACGCCGGAAACACATTTGCGGAAAGGTGGTGTGGACTATTCCTCATTCGTGGGGAGAACGTGGTCCTGCTTGGAGAAATTGTGCGGTTCTCGTCCCCTCTTTTGCATCGATATCTTGCTGCGGTGATTCACATTTACCCAACAGGATTTGGATCAAGAGGACGACGTTCCACTACGTCAAGTTGAATACAAGCAACTCGATGATTACTACAGACAAGATGTTGCCGCGAAGAAGCAGAAGGAGGAAGCAAAGGCGAAGATCCTGTACGAGCAGAAGGGATTCTGCAAGGAAGGAGGGGAGGGAGATGGGTACTGAGGGCCCTTACTGAGGACTCTCACTACGGAGTCCCCCTTTCCGGCAGATTCATTAAGCCCCATGGAAAGTAGGGACAGTCACAGGCTGTAAGTTACATTCGTAGGTCATTTATCATAGTCCCAAGCGCACCCAGCTGGTGAGATTGTGCTCGGACGAGGGACGCTAACAAGGTATGTGAGTACCAAAAACCATGACCCTACTCCTTCCTTTTCTTGCCCTTCTTTGCCTGGTCTCCATTGAGCTTGTGCTTCGGCTGTCCATTGATGGCAGTTGATCTTGATAGAACAGGGACCCGAGGAGAAGAAGGCTCGAGCATCTTTGATTTTTCGAGATGGGCATGGGGATCAAGAATATCCTCGACGCGTTTCCGAATCTCGCGTTCTAACTTTGTCAACTTCTGTAAGGCCTGATCCTTTGTCTCTTTGTCGAACTCGACATCGGCAATACGCAACTTCTGCCAACTGATTTAATCCATAAGATTATCAGTCCTCCACCGTTTCCTTACAATAGATAACGGGCTTACCCTGAGTGTCGATCGCACTTCTTTTTACCCATGCACCACCATTCTGCCTCCTCAGGTGTCCCATCTACGTCTGCTTGAGTAGGATTCTCTTCGTAACTCTCTAGCACGCTTGCACCAAACTCGGCCACCTCCTCTTCGCCAAAACACAATCGTTGGTCCCACCCACACTGCTCTATCGTGTCCGCGTGCTGTATTGCGAGCTCGGTGACCTTTTCGCGCCATGCGATAACATCCATCTCAGCTTTAAGCGCCTCGCGCTTCTGAACCAATGTTTCGAGACGCGCGCGCAGCCTTGCAAGCTCCCGGTCTGCCTTGCTAATTTTCGGTAGGACGATGGCTAACGCCGCGTGGTCGCCGGTCATTAATGGTGAACGAGATTGTCCCTCAACCACGCGTGCGGAAACGACGACACCCTCACGCTTCTCGGCATTCTTTACCGTTTCCCAGAGTCGATCACCGTTTCCACCGTTCTCTACCCAGAGAGAGATGCGCATATGCATATATTGCACGCCACATTCGTCGGAGCAGTACTTCGAGAAAGCTCCGCGAGCGGGCTTGTGACACGCATCTGGTGAGTTCGGGTCCTGCTGTTGGAGCCCGTTCAGGCAGCGGTGCTTCCAAGTTGTGCGCAGATCGAGGTGAGGATTCTCTGAACGTCATATCCACATGTTCGTTAGTCGTATGTAGCGCAACTATCGAACACACGCACTCTCTACACAAAGCGGGCAGATAAATTGGTCGACAAGATCAATCTCAAGGTCTGGCATGTTGACACATGATGTGTGATACCACTCGTCGCAACTGTAGGCCATAGAATATGAGCAGATCTGAATCCGATCATTGAAAGCGGCGCACCGGTCGCAAGCGATCATAACCCTCTCATCATCGTATCTAGTATTACAGATACAGTACAACCTGTCCTCCGTCCTTTCCTCTGCGTCATCAAGTTCCGCCTCACCCGGCGTTCTGTTTTCAACACCAGGGGCGGGGGTCGTGCTCATGGGCATGACTGACGTGGATCGAGATCGTGTGGGGATGGCTAATCTCTTTGTCCCAGTAGTCGATGACTTCTTGTTCTTCAGTGGTGCTGTCGAGGTACCATCGGAAGACACCTTAAGCTTCGACTTTGCCGAACCACTCGGTCTGGTGCGGCTTTTGGGCTGCACATGCTGTTTTGTCTTTTGGGGGTCAAAGAGCGGGTAGAGAAAGAACAAACACCAAATTCACCTTCTTTTTCTGAGTAGGACGCTCCTCTTGTTTTGGAATGGTCGCGTCAGATTCACGAGTGGACATGGCAGCGTCCAGGGAAACTCTTTCCAAGTTGATAGCAAAGGGACTCGGGGTAGGAGATGGGTGCGACGGAGTCAGCGTACCGAGCGCCGACTCTTGTCTAAGAGGAGCGTGATAGGAAAGAGAATCTTTATCTTCATATGAAGGAGGTTCGTCTTCCCTTGACGTGATTTGTGGGCTACGCGACGGTAAATCGTGACCAACGAGGCTAAGAAGTTCTTCTTCAACATCCATGTCCGCGTGGCTTGGCTCAATGATCTGGCTCTGACTTGAGTCCATTACAGCACGCAAATCTACATCGGTCTCGCTTTTGATCTCTTTTATAATGGGCGTGGGCGCGTGGTCGGTATTAGAGGGGCTGTCTGGCATTGGAAGATGTATGACTTCTGCGGCTCGTAGAACGGCAACGTGAGGGTTCATTGCGTCAGGCTTCTCAAGTGAGGTGAATGATGCTTGAGCGTCCACTAAGTTCTGCGGCTCCGCAGACGAAGTGACACTGCTAGTCGAAGAAACCGCAGTCATCTGAACTCCCGCTGACTGATCGGCATTAATACCATCTTGAAAGCACGAAGCAGGGTTAAGGGCGCGTGGTGACGGTGACGTGGTTGTAGGTGGGTGGGCTTCTTTCTCTGGAGTTGGCAGATTGAGGACGTCCTTGCAAGGCGGCGAGGGAGACCTAGGAATCCCGGAGGTTGACCGAATACCCTGGACTGACGAAGCTGCGATTGCATCATGAAGAATGGGAGAACGTAATGTCGGTGATTGCAGTTTGACAGGCTCCACATGCTCAGAATTGACATCTTCAGGGCTGAGTGTCGATGGCGGGGCTAGATTGACTGGTTTGTCCTGTATGACGCTTGTTGAGCAGTTAGGTGGCAATAACTCGACCGGTACCACTGAGGGCCCCTGCATGGCAGGGACATTCGTGTTAGTAGCATTCGTCGATTCCTCTGGACCAGTAGCACTTTCCATTTCAACAAATTCTTGGGATGTTGAGACCCCAAGAGGCGGGATATCACTATGTGATGGATGGTGCGCCAGTGGACTGTATCTGTCTTCCATCCCACGGGACAGTGACCGAGGTGGTGGCACAGGTACCGGTGGCGCTAATGGTTCCGATGGAGTGAACAAAGTTCGCTGCAGAGAGAATAGGAGATTACTCTGGTTTTCCAAAACCAGATCGGAATGCGAGACCTTTGGTGGTGGTGGATGTGGGTCAACATTCGGCCGAATATCCGGATGTACCATCAGCTGGCATTCTTCGGTTGAGAGGACACGCCGATCATCATCATCAGGAGCGTAAGTTGCAGAAGTGACTGGCTCGCGATGACCTGGGACGTGTGATCGAAAGGGCTTTTCTTCCATCACATGTTGCCTTCTCATCGAACGTTCCCTAGTTGGCGAGAAGCGGCTTCCCCCCGAGGTCACGTCTTCTTTATCATGCGAGAGTATAGGAAGGGTGGGGCGTAACTCTGTACGAACCTCAGAGGACAGTCTGCGCGGTTTTATTCCCGGACCGATCAACCCACTGAATTGAGAGGATGAATCCCAGCTATGTTCGGAACCAAGGTTGGGATCCGACTGACGCTGACGCTTAGACGGATGGGCTTCGGGACTAGCACCCACCCTGAGTGACGACTCAGAATAAGAGTCACGTAGAAGTGGCCCCGGGATGAGGGAAGGCGTAATGGGAGTGCGGGGTGAGGGTGCTTGAAGATGGGGTCGAGGGGCCTCGTGCGATGGGTGGAGGAGCACTTCAGGGCTTCGTCGAACAGTGGAACGGGAAGCGTCTGCCTTGCGATCAAGATTGGCTTTGGCTTCAAGCCTATCCCGTTCTACTGTAGCGGCCTGAACGAGGGCTTCAAGTCCGCCTAGGGGAGACTGCTGGGGAGAAACGGGGTTTAAGAGCGCTTGCGGAAATGACGAGGTCGATGTCGTAGAGATACGGGAAAGTGACGCGTGGGCCGTTGAGGATGAAGCCATAGGTTCTGGATGGTTGCCGTGGCGTGGATGTCGAAGTGTCGGGGAATGGGTCGCGTTATAAGAGGGCTCATACTGAGTCGCGGTTGAGGGTGGGGATGTGTGGTAGTATCCCCCAGGCGATGGGCCGAGACGTTGTGTGTAAAGGAGAGGTGAGCTGGGTGAGTGGGCTGAAGGTAAATGGGGAAGCGAGATAGTGGAAGAAGGAGAATCTGATGACAGGCGCGTGGAGGAGAAGGGGGATTGAGAGTACGAAGGACGGGGAGATGAGGGAGGG